AAAACAGTCTTTGGCCGAAACAGCGCTGAATAGATTCATACTGAAAATATGCTCCCGTGGAGTCTGTGGAAACAAGCCCTGGAGGAGGTCGTGGTTAGCAATATGTAAACGTGCATGAGTCACAGCTACCCTGGGAAACGGTGTCTGTGACTGCAAATAAATACAGGAGCAGGCTTAGGATGACCGTGAGAGGACGAGAAGGAGAGAAAAAATGTGTTGCTGGGTCATCAGTAGAAGTCTCGAGTTCACATCCAGTTTAGAGCTGCGTGTCTCGGTCCACATCAGATCAGCTGATGGTAAGGTCTCCAGTCTTTACCGTGGCGTGGAGGCCCATCAGGACTGAGGCGAGCAGCGAGGACTAGAGGTGGTCGTAGGCGGCTGCAGATGGTGGGCCCGTGCGGGAGGCCGAGCTGTAGTAATAGGGCGAGCCTGCGGGGGGAGACACAGATGGAGCTGGATGATGCTGGTGGTCACAGCTTTGGCTCTGAGTGCTTTGAGGCTGAAGGCCCATCGCGACCTGCACGTAATGAGGGACTCGAAAACCCTAAAAGCATGAGTGATGCTGGGGTATGTTTCAAACAAGGTGCAGTGCAGAAAATCAGCCATCAAACCTCCACCTCTGTGTCAATTAATAAAATTTGGTGATGAGATGAGAATGCAAAGCGAGTTTCTCCAGCAATTAGACTACAAGATGCCTGCCTGCACTCCACAAAACTGCAGTAACAACACAACAATACAAATTCAGCTAAATACTGCATACACTGCTGTCTTTGAGGTAAAAATGAATACATTTCAAGCTACTGTACATTTCAGTGTCGAGAAATGGAAATGTTAAAGGTTTAGATGACTTTTTGCTCATTAGTTAATGAAAAGTTGTTTTACCAGTTGTTTGATGTTATATTGTTCTGTCTGCAGCCCAGATGTGGCTTTTAATACAGCAAAAGTTTTACCAAGATAAATGAATATGTTAAAGAAAGGTAGGGGGGTCAAAAAGCGCATTAGGAGTCACGCGCACCACTTCCTGGTAGGCCGTCTATTAAATTCTAGTCAGAGTGAAATGTTTCTGAATCATAAGGTCAGAGAGAAAATTCTCGTGAACGTTTGTGAATTCTGGAGAAGCTCCGCAGGGGACACGTTCGCCGCCTTAGTAACAAATATTCACGGGGTTAGGCTTACGTGTGCTCGGTTACTCACCCAGTAAGCTGGAGTTGGTGAACCTCCAGGCTTCGCTGTACGAGGTGTAGGGCGAGTGGCTGTAGGACTGACCCGAGTAGTCTGCACCTGCTGCAGAGAAGGAAAAGAACATTTTAAAAATAAAGTTGAGCAAACAATCCAAACGCTCCGAGCTGAAACAAGCTGGAGCATTGCAAGGAGCTCGGCAGGTTGTTTGTCTGAGTGCCAGCATCTGTTCAGCCTTAGCTCATAATTCACCGACAGTTAGTGCGGCCTGTAAACCATTAATCTGTGGTGCAGGTGGATGGCTGAGGGTAAAATCCCTCGGCCCAGTGGTGCGTGGACACAGCTAGCCTTTACGCCCTCTTTCTCCAGCGCTTAGGCCCCTTCCATCGTTCAGCCTCTGCCCTCTGAAATGCCCTCCTCCTCTCTCCATCCCGCACTTCCTGTCTGGCAACTCCTCTTTCTTTCATTTTTCTTTTCTTCTTCTTCTTCTTTTTTTTAAACATTCCAATATCTAATTGGTAATTATGTTGGCTGGAATGAATCCCTGAGCTCCCCACCTCCTCCTCCTTTTCTCCCTCCCCCCCCCTTACTCGGTAATTGTGTATCAACGCTTCCTCACAGCGAGCCCACCAGAAAAAATAATAAATCAGACCCTCTCATTTCGCGCTTCGGAGGGCAGACTTCAAATAAAAAAAAAAAGGCAGATCGCACACATACATGCACATACACACACACACACACTCTCTCTCTCTATGCTCACATGCAGGCATCTTGACACACACACACACCCTGTAAAAAAAAAACAACAAAAAAACCTTCTACTCTTCCCAGCTTTACGCCCCATCCACCCACAACCATTGCATCTCCCTCCTGGGCCCCCTGGTTCCCATGGCGATGTGTGGTCAGAGGTGTCTGGGTGAGGGGGTGTGGGCAGCAGGGTGGAACCCCAGCCAGTTCCCTGTACCCCTCCCCATCGGGCTCACGGGCTCACGTGCACCCCTGCGCTCGTTCACCCTGGCAAGACTACTCATTAACTCAGCCCGTCTCCTGGTTAATCTACAAGCCGCCATCCTGCCCTGCTCCTTCTTTCTGTTTCCTTTCCTTCCTCCTCTTTCTCTCTCTTTCTTTCTACTTGTCTTTCCATTTTTCCATTTTTAAAACAAAAAACGTATTCCTTCAGGTCAGCTAGTTACCTGCTACCATTCCCGTGATTGCAGAGGAAGAGTATCCCGTCTGAGCAGGTGAGGGGATGTGAGGTGGGTAGCCAGGGAGGGTGGAGCTCACCATGTCACGCCCTGAAAGCACACAAAAAAGCCGCACATCTTTAACACCGAGGTGGATGTTTAGATTGGTGTTTAGTGCTGGACAAACGTGTAAGATGCAAAGACTGAATTGAAGCTGAAACGATAGGATCAGTTTATCATTTAACTTTCTGCAGCATTCAAATGCCAAAAAATAAACGAATGAGCAAAAAGTAAACAGAGATGAGATGGATGGCTGCGTTACCTGAGATGACAGACTGACTGCTGAATTGCCCGTACACTGGTGCATGATGGGAGAATGAGTTGAAGGTGTTGGGGAAATGGTTGGAACTGCTGCTGCTGCCGCTGCAGCTGCTGCTGCTGACAGAAATGGGTTTCTGCAGCGCCTGCAGCTCCACAAAAGCCAGGTTACAGGCTGCCATGTTTGGGGAGGGGGTTGTGCTGGTCACTTCTGGGGACATTTCCTGTTTTAGACAAAGTGGCAGGGTCTGTACGGGCTCTGAGGTGGCGAGAGCCAGTGTGCAGCGCGTGGGTAAGGAAATAAAAAAACAAAACAAAGCAAAAACAAATGGTGAACATGGGTGGAAGTGAAAAAAGAAAAAACACGCAGGACTAAAAGAACTGTGTGAAATGCCAAAACTGAACAAAGAGTGAGCGTCAGCATGTGGAGGGTTCTGGGCCCTGTGGTTAATGGAGGTCAAAGAGCATGATCCAGCGTTAAGAGTCTCACCAGTCACCATGGTGTAGCTCTGGTGTGCCGACAGATTTCGTCCAATGGCAGAGCTGGATGATGAGAGGCTGGTCTTGGCTTCGTCTAGGCTACCGTTGATGAGGGACAGCGGGTACAGAGTCTGAGGATGATAAAGGCTGCTGTTACAAGTGCACACGTAAAAAAAATGAAAGGAGGATTTTCAGTCCAAACGGTCGGTACCTGCTCGGTTTTGCTGTTTGCTGCTGATCCGAATGAATCCGGAGGATAGTGATGACGATCGAAGCCGCAGTCCAGATGTTGCGAGGCTGTGGGGAAGTGATCCACTCTCATCTGTTTCCTCGGGATGCCTCCGCTCCCCTGAGAGTCCACGCTGTGCCGACAGCTCTCCTGATCACCTGTGAGAGGCAACGAGGAGGATAGAGGAGGAGGAAAGCTTCATGTTAAACTGGCAAACAATAATTTTATCTTGAAGGTCTTTAAATGTCCTCTGAGAAGATTTTGGCCCCTTCAATTATTTGAAAACTAAAGAGCTAAAGAGCTTGTCTCTTTGGCACAGTTCCTAAGTGGCTCTAATCTTAATTAACTGGTTTGTAGTTCTTTTTGGCCATCTGCGTCCCTCAGAGCTCCATCCCAAGTCTGCGCTCTCTTACTACTTCTTTGAATTTATTAGAAATCACAACATTAAAAAAACTAAAGCAGGTCATAAATCACCGCTAACAAATGATTACACTGATATCAACGACTTGATTGCCTGCGTCCCTGAAAGACGTCAGCTTTTTAGTTATTGGAGGAAAAACTGAAATCTGTCTAAATGCTGAAGAACAGGACAGAAGCTGCTGTGTCACAGTGATTGGTGTTAAGCGTGCCCTGTCGTGCACAGGTTCTTGCAAACCTTAATAAAGTAAAGCTGAATTTCCGTTCGAGGGACAACTTTTGGCCTGTTATACCCTTGCAACAGGAAAGTGTTCTTACAGGAAACAAGGTCAGATTAATGATTAAATAAAGCAGCTGGGAGAGCCATACTTGTTTTCATCTTTAAAAGTTTTAGAGTGCATGCCTGCAGAAGGCCTAGAAACAAGTTTTTCCGGCCATATTTGCCTTTGTTTTCTCAGTATTGTTAAGGATAGTGGGCAGTAACCCAGTCTTTCTTATGAATCAGCTTCAGATTGTGGTGTTTTGTTTGCTAGATTGATTTCTTACTGTCATCGTGGCTCCTTTTGCCTTCGCCGTTGGGTTGAGGAATACCCAGCAAGCCACTGATGGAGTAAGTTGAACCCAGAGAGTCCGACTGCGGGGATTCTGGAGGGGTGACCGCAGAACTGGGGACTGAGAGCGAGAGAAAGGGAGAACAACAAAGACAGATCTGAGACAACAATACTGAGCAGCTCTTTGCTGCTGATGTGACGAGGGCCCCGAGTTTAATCTTGCAGAGCAATGTATTTAATCCTAATCCTTTCCAGCATCCCTTGTTGTTGTGCATGTGTTCAGAAATGGTGCAGACTTACTCAAAGTTTGCCCTGGACTCAGGCCTTTTCCATCCAGAGGAAGGTTAAACGGCTGCTGGACCTTCGTTCGGATTATTCTGGAACAAAAACAACAATTTTTAATAGATTAAAGCATTCCGACTAATTATACCACACACACACACACAAAGGCAAAACAAAGGCAGCACACTCAGTCTCAGCCATTCAGCTCAGCCGAACTCAGCCAGTCACAGCTAAATGCTGCTTAACCACCTGAACCCCGGCTTACATGATTTCATTCATAATTCAGTTTGGCACCTGTTAATGGAGCTCACGCTGGGCACTGTGTCACTGTCACACACTCCCTCCGCCAGCAGCCGGTCTCTGATTTCCCAGGCGAACATGGTGGGATTCTGCCTCTTGTACTCAGCGATCTTCTCCACAACCTTAGGAGTGGCCACTTTGGGCTTGGAGCCGCCAATCACACCGGGCTTGATGCTGCCTGTCTCATAGTAGCTGGAAGGGAAAGCTGATTTTGTAAGTGGAAAGTTTAGACAGGACATAAAAGTGCTCCTGATGATTAAGCAACCTCTCAACTCTCGAGACTCTCATTAACAGGAACAATTAACAGGAAGTTGAGGACTCACCGTCCCAGGATCTTGCTGACGCAGCCGTGGCTGACTCGAAGCTGCCGGGAGATGTCACAAGGCCGAACCCCCTGATGGGCCATGTCCACAATGCGTTGCCGGATCACCTCCGGAAGCGGGCGTCCATTAACAAACATTCCACCTAGTTGGTTAAGACCCCCATGACCTGGGGGAGGAGGGGGGATGAACACTTATAAATGTCATGGAACTCACGTGCACACACGCACACATGCATGTTGATTCAATCACACCTGCTGATTCACACATCATTTAT